AATTTGCCCGAACGGAAACTGCCATTGACCAAGCCTTCTCAGGTGATCTCGTCTTGATCATTTATCACATTATCTAAAGCAGTTGTCTATTTCCTAAATGGGTTGAAATGGTTTTAGTTTATTCTTTATAGTTATTAAATACTTCAATATTTTTTTCATACATAATTGAAATTTTGTTATGCATTCATCTAGTGGTAAACAAAAGCTCCAGCCAATGTGCATGTAATGAAATAAATCCATAATAGTGATTTATATGTAAATAAAAAAGATATAATCAAATATTCTAGGATTTAAGTTGGAGTAAATTGTAAAAGCTGATTTGCATTTATGAATGAAAACTTTCTATATGTAAATGAAGTGAGGTAACACTATATGTCAGTGAATTTAACTTTTGAAATGTTGATAAGTTTTTATTGTATACTATTTCACTATCTCTACAATACCTTTGCTATCGTACATCTCGGTATCATCACACTGCTGTTCATTGTTATCTGGTGATTTCATTCTGTCATCTGCCATGTCTGAAGTGTCTGCTACACAGCAATAGACAGTGTGTAGGTGTAAGGACAGACTCTGCATGTGGGTCTCCATTTCTTGCTGACTGAGGACAGTTTCTTTGGAAGTCTAGAACACATACAACAAACATTTAGATAGATGGGCCTCCACTGTAATGGTAGTTGTAGTACTTTACTTCAGCATGGCAACTACGGTTGGTCAGAATGAAAAATATAATGAAATTCAGTATATCTCAAAACAGAATTGGTAAAATATTGTAAACAATAGTCCTCTATCAAAGATTTCAAACCTTCATACTTTACATGACTTGTGTACGTTCATTTGTCACAGGTCATACAAACACATATTAATGAAGTGGATATATTCTAATTACTACTATCAATGTAGTACAACCACTCGTCTTATGATGTTTTTTCCCTAAATCATCAATTTTGCTAAGTGTGCTTGAATTAAAAATGTGTCTATTTATAACAATTTCTTTGTTTGGCAGAGTTGTACATGTACTTTTGTACATACCATGTATGAAATTGTGAATGTGTAGTTTCCAATGAGTTTGATTGATGTTTTCATTGTTGGTGTTGTCAAGTATCATCAAATTATATATTGTAAGTTTATCCCTGGATAAGACTTAATATAGTCCGTGTCTTTATTCTAATCCTTTTTTGAGATTCTGTGTTTAGGTGTTTACTTTTATTGATAATTTATCAAGTCACAAACTTTATATTGATAATTAAACCCGTGGAACTTACACTTTAGTGTCGTTGTGGATATTTCCTAACACTAAGGCTAACCAGGAGAAAAAACCAATAGGTACGCCTTTGAGCTGCCTGTTGGCCACTATTTTGTCTATAGCTACCTTGATTCTGACATTCTGACCTTGTTCTTCTAGTACATCTGAAAAAATACAAAATGCAAAGTCTTTTATGTGGCAAACCTTCACCTCCTGAATGCACCTACTGCAGTTGAAACAAAATGAAATTGGACAAATTGGATACATTGAAATTTACTATACCTTTGTCAGATCCCTGTTCAAGATACGTTCTCTTCTCCTTTTGTAGAACACCTTTTTTTCTTTATAGCTGAACACTGATGGAGAATAGTAAACACCATCTCTTTGTCTGCATGCCACCCAGAAATAAAGTGTGCTGAACATATGTATGAAATAAAGATGGGCTGCCAACTTTTTCTAATGATACATCTCCCCCAAATACTTCTCTTGTGCTTGCCTTTTGGAAATTTGAGGAAGGATATGCCTCATTCCTTCGCACATACATTTGCTTGATTCATACCCCTGTACATGTTACAACTTTTCATCACCTTCTCTATATTGTCAATGAACTGTTGCCACCCACATGTGTTTATACACATGCACGAGTTACTATACCACAGTTGAGTCGGAAGGGTCTATTTGAAATTTTTTAATACCTTTTCCATCATATCAGTGAAATTTGTGCAAAATATACAATTCACGGAAAAAATTCAAAGTTTTAAATCAAGAGATTACCACTTGCATAGGTATTGGATATTGAACCCAGGAGAACAAAATTTACAACAGATTATAACTGTTTATTTTGATGCCCTAAAAACATGCACTTGAAAAATTAAAATTCAAAAGTGGAGAGTGTGCTTCCTTTTTATTTCCTGGAAAGATCAAAGATTTTGTGAGGCTGCCCTAATTGATTTTAGGGATTATCCGGAATGCAAAAATTTATGAGCAACAAAAATAAATAAAGTTATAACTGTAAATATAAATGCAAACTATCGGAGTTGACATCATCCAAAACCATGACGGAATGTTGAAAACAACTAGCAAGATGGTTAATTACCGATTGGTAAAGACACTGGTCATGCAGTGTGGAACATAGAAAATTATGTCAGTTATATATGACTGTCTTTTGAAACACTTTGATTTTCGACTATTAAGAAATAACAGTATTAATTATATTATCTTTCACGCTGGATATCACAACGGAAAAGCCATGTGGCTTGTCTGCTTGTATAATGACAGAAGTTAGCATTGACATATTAGTATGCAGAGCCTGCATTGGATATTACGACTACATTTTTTATTATCTATAAAAATTGGCCTCACTGGTGTTTATGAAGCATGTCTGTGAGTTTTATAATCATATAATTACTTATTCATCATTATAAGGATGGTCTTCTCACTATTATCTCATTAAAATGTGTAGTGAAAGACCATTGTCCTTTGATCGAATACACTTGCCTACATGCTTTGCATATGCAGATCACTTGAAATACAGATTCAGGGCCTCAGTGGTGTGTCAGCTGGCACGCGCACAATGTTGACAGGGACATGTGTGACATGGATTACAAACCAGAGATGCCAATGTGTTATATATACATGTCTCTGAGAAAAGTAATCATATGATTATGGGATGTATCCTTTCTTTCAATTTATTTCATTCCCTATTAAATCAACAAGTCGCAAAGTGTGGCATTATCCCCCACACCCGAGTGTTGTATAGAACCAAAATATATAGATATATATATATATATATATAATGATTTGTGACTTCACTCAATTAAGCAATAGTGCAAATGTAACACCTTCTTTTGTCAATTATCAATGAAATTGCCTTCAATCTCCTCAACTTCAACATCTTATATATCAACCTTATAGTAAGAGTTTAGATCTTGATGTAGATTCTAGCTGTGTGTCTGACTGTCAATATTTTAATAGAGCTTGGTTCTGTCCATGAACAAATATATGCAACACTCTGTAAGATCTGGAGTAAGACAAGAAGTCACAAAAAATCGAAAAATATGATGGTAACAAAAAAGATAAATAATAAAATGCCTTCATTTAGAAACGGCACAACTAGGGCACTGACCTAGTATATACAAAAAGTTTTGTGGAGTTCAGTGGAATGTTTCGAAGTTGTAGCAAAGAAAGGAAAGTTATCACTAATTTTGTGTTTTTTGACTATGTTTCCACAGTAACAGAAAAAATATGAAAAATGAAATGGAATCAATAGCAAAAGGCATGACTAGGCGCTAACTTAATATATACAGCAAGTTTTGTGATGTCGATTTGAACAGTTATGAAGGTATAGCCCATCAAAAAGCCCTCAGACAGACAGACGCATGATCGCACGTAGCCCAAATTAGTATTTCCTGCAAACATGTTCGCTGCGGGTGTCCATAACGAACATGTTTGCTGGGAATATTAATAACACATATTCCTTGAGGAAAATTTATCTCTCCATATCTCAACCAATTTTACAAATATCAACATGAAACTCAAGGATGTAATATAACCATATTTAGAATACATTTTTTTAATGTTGCTAACTTTTTTGAGTATTTTTGTCAAGAGTGTCTAAAGACACATCACGTATACCCATGACATTTGTGTAACATGTATATACCAATGTCAAGCTGGCATTCTCCTCAAAGTAAAATCATCGTAACTCTGTCATTTTTCATAGAAATGAAATTGAAACTTTGAATATTTATGTATTATAATAACATGAACTACATATTTTTTGAAGTCACTTATTCTATTTAGTATTTAATGATATATAGTTTAGACACTGTCCTCCAGTGTTAAACACAATGTACTGTGCAATCAACGAAAATTTAACTCTCAATCAATTTTACAAATATCAATATGAAACAGTGTTTCGCGATCTATGATGTCCCTAACTATATTGCTTGTTCTAAAATATACTTCCTGAAGAGTCTTTACAACTCAAATCAAGAATTGATTTCAATGATCCCATCATTCTGTGCATTCTGCAAGCCATATTGTTCCCTCTTAGAAAATTCTCTGCAAACCACACAGAGGAATACTAAATTGAGATTGACGCAAATCTCAATCTGTATATTTTCATGTTTCCCAGTCTGTCAAATTTGCTAAGTTTTAGTATAAAACTTGATTGTCTGATAGTGACAGTATGTATGCATGACACTGTTATGAAAGATGGTGGCATAGTTTATAGCATACGACTGTCACCAGGTGTCACTGATAATGTGTTGAAATATTTCCATCAATGAGAAAGATGGGTTGGTAATAAAGAGTTACTTCCAGACTTTGACAATAGGCTGAAAGCATAATTGCATAACATTTAGACTATATACTTGAATCTAAACATTTAGACTATATACTTGAATCTAAGCCTTTAGAAAAGGTGCACACCTTAACATTTTCGCACCATTATTTTTTTATTTATTTATTCCATTAACGTGTCATTTCAATCAAAATCATGGTTTTATCTAATACATGTGTAGTTCTAGATAAACGTAAGTCGATTTAACCTTCTCTGACCCAATGATGTCAGCAGAAACAGAAGTGCAGTCACGTGTCCGATATACATGTGGGTCGTTTCATGTGAGAGAATTTGAGGTCTGAGCTGTAGATATGTTTCAGTTTCATCACTATGTGGTGGGTCTGAAACTTTTAATGAGCAAAGGATATACAAGAACACACACATTCGTGTCCACAAGCATCTGGCTATTACCTGCTATCGTCATGCCCCCCGTCAATATAATTTTGTACATCACTATCGGTTAGACTCAAGCTACATCGGGAACGAGGTCGTCCCGATCTTTGTCCAGGGTTGGGAGTTACGACTTCTACCCGTGGAACAAGCAACGGTGCATCCTCTGCTCCCGAATCGGCCATCACGATGTGTTTACGTACAATGCGCATGCGCACTTCCCGAACATAGGACCAATGTTTGTAAACAAAGATAACGATATCGGCATACACCAGTGATAATCTAAACATTATGATGACCCTAGCTGGCATGCATTGACATATATCACTAGCTTGTACATAAATATATCCATAGTGCGAATTCCAGGTAATCTTCTTTGCTAAGTAGGTCAAGAGGAAAAAGTGGAAAACGAAAGTAGGCAAGCTGATAAGTAGGACGTTTTAGTTGAAGATTTATTCCTCTAAGAAAAAAAATATCCAGCAATAAATTTTTGCTGGTGGAATTTTGAAAGATTTGACTTTAAAAAGTAGATCAAAATAAAAAAAATAAATAAATATGTTGTCTCACTACATTTTCCGGTACAGGCGTCAAAACAAGAAATAATTACTTTTCAAAGTATTCTTATTTTTTGTCTGACACGACAACCTCTATCAAATTAAATGTTCATCTTTCATTGTAAAGTAAAGGTTGTAGTGTTACCAGACTAACAGTTAATTGGATTGGCGTTGACCATAACCATAAAATCACTGGCTGTCTCAATATCGTGTAACAGAGGTCAGTTTTCGTCTCAATGCCTCCGCAAGGAGTCGAACCCGGGACCCCGTCTTACTGGTACATTGCGGCTAGTATTTTACCAGGGTTACACTCATATGGTTAGGCCCTGCATTGTGGACATTGTAATTGCATTGTAGTTAGATTAGATGCTTTGTACTTTGTATAGAAGTCAGTCTAGATGAAGGCGAATAAACATGTGCATACAATGCGGAGTTCATCATTATAGGCAAAAGAACACAACAAATGTATGATACTTGGATGCTGAAGAAAACATAAGGAAAAAACAATTTAAAGCAATGAGTCAGTTATATGATTATTAGACGAAAATAATAAACAAAGACTGTTCGGTGGCAAAACGAGATCTTTCCGTGATTTTTTTATTATATCAAAATAACAAATGGCAGATTTTAAATCCCAACGTCTTCAGGTATTTTTCTCGGGGTATTCGGGTCTCGTAAAAACCTAAAACTGGAATGCCCATACATTACCAGCATGTGGTACTCAAAGGTGTTGGTCAAGGATGTGGTGTTTTGTGTGATAAAGCATGATTCAAATTGCCTGAATATACATTCTATTACTTCTAAGTGTCGATGATCTTTGATCACGTGACTTTGAAACTACAATGTTCACATCATTTTCTAGACTGTTATTTGTGGCCTATACAAAAAGTTGAAGATTTTAGAGAAACGTTTTGATGACCTTTGACCAGGTGATATTACAACTTAGCAAACTGAATCTTTGCATTACACTGCACTTCCTAAAATTTTCAAGAAAACGTATGCCTATACAAAACGTTGATGGTATTCGAATGAATTGGCATTTTATTGCTGTTTCCGTGTTTTGGCTTCGTCCAGAAATCTTCCATCTTTGGAAGATAAATTTGGCTATTTTGCTCGGGTTACTCTTTGACGTCACAACCATATTAGGTACTTGATAAAGAAATAATTTGTCTCGCAGGAAATTTTAATTAAAAAAACATATTTTCATTGTATTTGTCTCGTGCCGTAATTCCAAAAGGATTGAGCATACAAATTTTGTTTTTTTTGTACCTTCGGATATTGATGCTAGTGACAATGTTTGGTTTGAATCGGCTCAGTGGTTCTTGAGAATTCTAAAATATGAAAAGGTTAATGAAAGACGCATGACGAAGAAAAGGCAACCTAAAGGGTTGCTATGTCAAGGATCCTAGTGTTGTATCGAGACTATGACCAAGGAATGAAACACATTATACTTTCTCTATATTAAAGAAATCATTCATGTACATAATTTCAATTCCATCTTTGTAACTTTTTTCTGTTTTAATTGACGTTTAAACACTTTTTATCATTCACATAATATCCAGCATTCACACCAAAAACAAAATCTGAGTGTCGTTTGTGTTTTCAGTAATTCCAGTACTTTAATTTTATAGTCCCCGTCACACAAACGTATGCACAAACCAGGTAAGCAGGCAAATATACTTTGTCACAGAGTTATGATCTTTCACTATACATTTTGGTAATTGAGCGAGACTATCCTTACTATGACGAATACGTGGTCATATGATCGTAAGGCTTACAGATATGCTTCATAAACACCAATGAGGCCGATGTTAATAAATAATAAACCCATAGTCATAAGACCAACCAGATTCCGCATACTAATATGTCAATGTTAACGTGTGCCACTACACAAAGAAGCAGACAAATGCAGAAATTTCAGTACTTTGATTTTCAGATTCACACTTTTTTCCCTGCCCATCAGCTTTTCAACATAACAAAGGAAAGTAGATACAACCGAAACAGAGGTAGATTTTTCCGGTGTGTTCTAATTTCGTAAAAAAAAGAATGCAGTGATGTTGTGACAGTAGTTATAGTCTGTTCCTTGTTTTACCCGTGTTCTCCAATCTGTTTTACCTGTAGTCTTAAACCAGTTTAACCTTTATTCTCCCACCTGTTTTACCTGTGTTCTCCCACCTGTTTTACCTGTGTTCTCCTACCTGTTTTATCTGTGTTGTTCTCCCACCTGTTTTGAATGTGTTGTAATCCCACCTGTTTTATCTGTGTTGTTCTCCCACCTGTTTTACCTGTGTTCTCCCACCAGTTTAACATGTATTCTCCCACCTGTTTTACCTGTGTTCTCCTACCTGTTCTACCCGAGTTCTTCTACCTGTTTTACCTGTGTTCTCCTACCTGTTTTACCTGTAATCCCACCAGTTTAACCTATATTCTCCCACCTGTTTTACCTGTGTTTTCCTACCTGTTTTACCTGTGTTCTCCCACCTGTTTTGAATGTGTTGTAATCCCACCTGTTTTATCTGTGTTGTTCTCCCACCTGTTTTACCTGTGTTCTCCCACCTGTTTTATTTGTGTTCTCCCATCTGTTCTGTTTTATTTGTGTTCTCCCACCTCTTTTGTCTGTGTTCTCCCACCTGTTTTACCTGTGTTCTCCCACCTGTTTTACCTGTGTTCTCCCACCTGTTTTACCTGTGTTCTCCCACCTGTTTTACCTGTGTTCTCCCACCTGTTTTATTTGTGTTCTCCCACCTGTTTTATCCGTGTTATTCTCCCACCTGTTTTATCCATTGTTCTCCCACGTGTTTTATCCGTGTTATTCTCCCACCTGTTTTATCCATTGTTCTCTCACCTGTTTTTCATGTGTTGTTAACCCACCTGTTTTACCTTCTTTGATCTTCCTCCTATATTCCCTCTGCTGTTCTTCCACCTTTTTGCCTGTGTTATTCTCCCACCTGATTTATCCGTGTTATTCTCCCACCTGTTTTATCCGTGTTATTCTCCCACCTGTTTTATCCGTGTTATTCTCCCACCTGTTTTATCCGTGTTATTCTCCCACCTGTTTTATCCGTGTTATTCTCCCACCTGTTTTTCCTGTGTTGTAAACCCACCAGTTTTACCTTCTTTGATCTTCCTCCTATATTCCCTCTGCTGTTCTTCCACCTTTTTGTCTGTGTTATTCTCCCACCTGTTTTATCCGTGTTGTTCTCCCACCTGTTTTATCCGTGTTGTTCTCCCACCTGTTTTATCCGTGTTGTTCTCCCACCTGTTTTATCCGTGTTATTCTCCCACCTGTTTTATCCGTGTTATTCTCCCACCTGTTTTATCCGTGTTATTCTCCCACCTGTTTTATCCATTGATCTTCCTCCTATTTATGGATAAGTTTATGAAACAGACAAAAATTTATCCTGCCACACAATCACGAGACTGTGTTTGGGGTGAAGGCCATCATGTAGTTTGAAATAGCAAAATGTTGAAATCCTGCCACGTGACTGTGCATATGTAGATCAGTACGAAGGGCCAAGTGTACTCGTTCAACTTAATAACAAATTTCTCAAACCCTCGTTGATGTCCATTGTAGGTTTTTGGCTTGTTTTTGAGGGTCTTTCTGATAAAACGTCTAAAATCTTAAGGTGGGATGATTCCGAAAACAATGTGTGCAATTGATGGTGTAAAATGTAAGTGTTGTAAAATCGGCACGTGGTAACGCAGTGTTAATCCTCGATTTACGTGAAAAGACAATTAGCCCCAGCGAAACAAGAATTGTTAAATTACACACATTTGTTTATATTAAACAGTTAGCAAGCATCTCACATACTTAAAAACTTACGACACCAGCTTAGGATTAGAGTTTAGGGGAATTTAGCTCAGAATTATATAAAATTAACAGAATAATTAAACTCTTGATTTGGTCCACGTGCTCTGTATTCAAATTTCCAACTCAAATACAATTCCTCCTCCTCAAATAAAAGAGTTCAAGACAGTCTGACAAGAGTTATCACCCTTCTCCAAATTCCCAGACCAAGCTTGACAATGTGTAATAAAAATCTGGAATCCTATCTTTATGTATTTTGTACCCTGGCCGATTTCTATAGAATAGTCAAAACCCTTTCACTTGTACATCCATGTTTGACACTTTAGTGTTAATTTACGTTTGAAATACCAGAAGAGTTTAATCACACACTTAATGTGCCTCAGTTCCTAAACTTCCCTTCTCTCATATAATAACCACACAAAATAAAACGTTTTTACAACGTCTTCAGCTTCTCAAAATTTGCTTATTGTGTTTTTTACTTCTGGTCGGGTCATTTTTAAGCTAATTTGTTGGCATTTAGAGATCAGCGAAGTTGTAAGGTAACCTTGAAAATAGGCATTTTATTTAGATTTTTAAAATTTACTTAGAAACATGAAATAGTGGGTCCATCTCACTGTTTATACATAAGCCCCTTTATCTAAGGACACTTTCAACTGAATCTGGACAAACTCCAATTTCCACAAAGAAAACATTATAAGCGTTTACTATAAATCTCTTCTAGGGCATCGCCCCATAGGCGCTGGACAGCCAAGAACCTCCGTTACAAATTTTGTCCTACTCCTTCTCTCAGGAATGGTTTTATTTGGTCAAAATATCTTCTTCT